TCTTTCCCTTTTTGCTAATAACTATTCACTGTAACAAAAACTTACGATAGAACACAAACAGTAAAGATTGCCAACTGTAGATGTCAGCCTCTGGGAGGAGGAGACTCAATACAAGGAGATTGCCTGTAGGAGAGGAATCAAAAAGAGATGTCTTATATCCCAAGGCATGTTTAAGGAACATGTGTGTGGACTCAAAGGTATCATGGCTGATGACTTAGTGTTACACAGGCTGCCTCCAAGTTTTCCTTTACTGTCTTTCTTGTCTGCTATTACACTATTTAATGCTAAATTTCACATTTTTGCCTTTCCTCAAAGCTGCAGTGTATTAGGTGATTAGTACTTCCTATCTCTGCAGACTTCTGCGATGGTCTTTCAGATACGAATGTAAAATTCTCCATGCTTATGTCTGGAGCTGGGCAGGGGTCCCAGATCATGCCTTACAAAATTTCAGGTCATTACCTGGATGACTTCAGTTTATCCACATAAGTTCCTGTTGCAGTTATAGATGCACCAGCCATCAATTACGTACACATTCCATGAAGTTCATGATTTCCAGTATGTTATCAACTTTCCATAGAGACTACAAATGCTGCATAAGTGCAGCTGATGAGGGACACAAAGAGGCACTTTGCTGCAGTTTGCCTTTCTGAGTAGGCTCATTCTGACACATCTGGCAGAAGGGATGTCCGCTTTATACCTAAGAATATGCTAAGCACCATTCTTCTTCAGAACACTATAAACAAAGAATAGCTGATTTTTTCTTTCATGCAGCTGGGTTTCTCAATTCAAACATTTCAAATCTTCTTTACTTTTCTTCAGATAAAAATCACATTCATAGCCCACAAAAGACAGTCATGTTAGCAGTTGTTAGGCACATGGTTACTAGGCTTACAACCTTCAATTGGTAGTATTTTTACAGTTTGGAAGTATCACATTTCATTTGACACATCAGCAACAATAATGTATGTTTTTAAGGTGTATATTTAAGAAAACAAAGAACATTAATCCAGAAAGTTCAAGTATTGCAAATTCTGCTCTAATGTATATTTATAAAAATAACATCCATAAATACCACTTCATGGCCAAAGAGCTATTAAATGTGGATTATATTACACATTGGTGTTAACCCTGAAATTGCCTTAGCAGTCTACATTAAGCCTTTGGTTGAGTCCTTGGGGCTCATCTAATCTGACTGGGAAGCATGCTGAATTCCTGCTTTGAAGTTGAATTGGGCTTCGACCTGTTTTGTAACCTTCACGGCTAGAGATGCCCGGCTCCCCTCAGGCAGGGGCATGCCAGCTGCATAGCCCCTGTCCAGAACATCCCCTTTGGCTTACTGCCCTTCCGCAGTCCTTCTCCTGCCTGCTGCGGCCGTAACAAGACGCAGCGTGGAGGGCTTGAGGCAGGATTACTGAACGGGCTGCTCTTTTCACCTGAGCAGCACGAAGCAGGCAGCCTGTGATACAGGCAGTGATGTATCATACGCTTAGAGAGCAGCTGCCCATGTCATGCAGGAGGAGGGTGACAAAATAGTGGTTTCCTAGAAAATTCCTTCAGTTGGCTTCAACATCTATCTAGGTGTTGTTATAAGGAGAGTTAGGTTATTCTTTAAGCGTACGTGAAAAGTGTCTTAAACTGCAGAATGAGCAAAAGCAAAATTGCAGCAATCTGCAAGTATAATTCACTTAATATTTCCCTACTCCCAGCGTCTTTCATATCCCTTTCCTTACCTGTAAGATGCCGTTGTTAGTGGAAAGCACCAAAAATTTCAGACAGAGGAATTTAAATATTGCAAGTGAGCAACAGTGGTATGTAGAAAATTGTATGTTGCTAGTACTCGCTGGTATCCAGGTTTTATGCTTAGAACTAAGTCTTTTTCTTTCTATTCTTTCAGTTTAAGGACTTACTAAAGCAGATACCCAATAATCTACTTGTAGTTATACTGTAAAATGAATATGAATTATGTAACTCACTAAAGGCAGTTCTTCCATTAAAAAAATTACTTCAGTATCACATAGCTATAACTGTGCAGACAAAAGTCTAATTAAAAATGTACTGGTTTTCCTTTTTTCAGCATTGAATTTATATTGTGGGATACTGCCTGCTCAGTCACCAACTCATAACTTAGTATTTGTACTGCTATTTTGCAGCTCATTGAAAAAAATTTTTGCTGTCTGCAGCAAACTAATACATGTTTAAGATCTTAGTATACAGCCAGTAACAAACCTTTCATGCTTTTTTCCCTTATTCAGGAATTTCCACCTTCCTTTGTAATTACATTAAGTAAAATATTTTTAATTGGCACTGGCCTTTTTCCATAGCTGTATTCGTTGGAGTGAATGATTAATTTCTTACGCATTTTCAAAAAGCAGCGAGTCTGAGAGGTTGTCTTCAGAACATGCAAAGTATCTGTCTTAAGACCAGTTTATTTCTCATTTTGTCCTGCTTATTTCATAACTGAATTACTGAATTCTGCAGCTAAAGTAGTTCAGTTCTTTCCTTGTCACTCCCTGATTAGAGCATGGTTTAAGTCTGCCAGAACTAACTTACTGAAATATTTGGCTTCTTTCCAAAGGTATCAAGTTTCATTAGAGAACAGGCACATGAACAGATTCAAATGATAGTTATTTCTCTAAAGGAAGAGTTTTATTCCAAAGCAGACGCATTGATTGGAGTGTGTCCAGAGGTAACAATTAATTATTACCAAATTTTATTAAATAATACGTGCTGGGTTTTGTGGAAGTACTGATTTACACCTTAAGAGTTACTACAGTGAATCATGCACATAATTGCATTGCTGGATTTGAACTACTTTGTGTTCAGAAATAAGTGCAGGTACTGGCTCAATGAAGAGACAGTTTTGGTAACTCAAACTCATTATTGTATCTCGTAGTCATTTACTTACTTCAGGTAACAGAAATGTTTTAAATTGTATGATCCTTCCTCTTCTCAGCACGATGACTTTATGTTCAGTCGAGTACTGACTTTGGATCTTACCGAGTATCCAGACATCGATGACCAGGAAAGAACAGAGAAGCACAAACGCAGTTCGGTTTTGGAATAAAGCGTGGATGATTTCAGGGCCAGGTGACAACAGCAAGAACTGTGTTTACAGCTGACTGTTACAAATCTGAGTTTGAATGTGGCTATTAGAGGTTGATAGAGAAATGTTTATCTTTCCAGCAAAGCAGTTTTCTAAAATATTGAAGGAAGTAACTGTTACTCATTGATACAGTTTCGTTAACAAGTAAAGAGATAGCCAGAGGTGGTTATTGAAGTGCGTACATTCTGGTATGCAGAGGTTTCTCTTCAAATGTTTTGAGGGTTTTTTTGCCTTAAGGTGAAGGATTACAGGTTCACATAAGCACACGATCACAAAGAATAAGCCTCTCGCTGTTCTTACGAAAAGTAGTGTGTTTAGCCATATCTCCAGTGCACTGTTTACATGCATGCTACCACTGGTCGAGACCTTTACAATCTCTCTCTTTAGTGTTGCAGCTGCATCTATTTGCGTTCAGATAGGATTATTTCCTGTTTTTTAAAACAAGAAGATATTGGAAACTGCCCATTATCTTTTGTGATGCCCAGTAAGACTTCACTCTTCCACTGCAACGTTATGAAAATATGAGTTAACTTTACAAAAGCTCACGACGCATCTCTGTAGGTGTGACCTAACCTGGAAAAATGTCACCTTTGAGGTATTCTACCCCATACAAAAGTGGAAAGAATAAAACAGGTGCGTCAGATGCCATACAGGTAGCAGCCTTAGAAAATAGTATATTGGTTTGCAGTTGAGATTGTTATTACATAGCTGTCCCAGTAAAGTCAAGTTTATTTTGATGGCCATGATTCATCTAAGCAGCAAAGTTAATGAAGTTGGTTACAGAATACTGTTTGAGAGAGCTTGAATCACTTCATCTGGCTTGTGTTTTACCTCAGTGTATGCTGAAGAACTTTACTTGGTTTATGGTTGTTCATAATAATTCTATCTTTTTGTGTTCGTACACCAGCTTCCTTTTACCCACTGTGCTGCTTATACACATCCACCTTGCAACCATGCCTGTTGCACACAACTGATGATGTCTAGACATGTGGGGTTACTGTGTAAGGAAGGAATGACATGTGAGCGGTAGATAATGTGTTCCTGTGGGAACACTTCAACAATGTAAATGTGCCCACTTATACTGTAGACGGATGTTTATGAAATACTTATGTTGCTGCCACACTTTATTTAATAAAATTATTTACTTGTGAGCGTGAGTCATGCTAGTTAGTCCCTTAATTCAGAATCCATTGACAGATGTGGAAATACTTACAGTAGTGTGAAGGATCAATAGAAGAGCAGCCTCCAGTGATTTTCAAAGCTCACTGACCCACATCAGTTTGCGTATTGCAAATACCGAAGTTTTGGGTTGGTTTGTGTGGTTTTGACCATTTGCTAGGAACAGTTGGTTGAAAAATACAGTAAAGACTTGAACAGTCTGAAGAATGGTGAAAGCTATACATTTTAGCTACTATAGAAGAATGGTCTATTTGGCTTTAAATACTTTATTAAAAGAGTGTACACCGTCATCAGAGATGTCATATCACCTTCATTACACAGCTTGAACAAAACAGGATAATAAATGGTCAACAAGTTTATTTTCAATAAGTATCTCACTCCCATTTTAAAAAAAAAAAGTTAAGTAGAGAGACATCTACAGTAGAATCAGCAAACATCATTTAACATGCCAGTGTGTACAGTTAGTTCTTTTACAATACTTAGGTAATAATTTGAACAGGGCCTTAAACAAGTTACTCTTTCACTTAACAGATAAATGGAACAGACAAGTTTCAGGTTCTGTCCCTTTCGACTGTTTTAAACCCTGAGGTAGCTGCAAGGCAATCCCATCCTTAAGATGACTAAAATACATTCTTTGATTGGGAGGGGTGGGGGGAGAACAAAACTAAAGCTAGGCATTTTTACCTTCTTACTGTGAGGAATGAAAATAACCCCTTACTCATTTGTTTTTCAGGATACAAGTAAATAGCATTTGAGTCAGGGGAGGCTGCTGTACAAGTTGCAGTTCAGCTGTGTCTACAAAATGGAAGAATCACCAATGCTAGGTGTAAGGTGATCCTGACCAAAGGGAGGGGATGTGATTTCCTAATGTGCATCTGACTTCAGGCACAAGATGAGGAGTTGCATGACTTTAAGGTTGGGCTTAAGTAATTGCAGTAATCAGGGTCATAAATAGCTCAGCTCGTCTGATTAATTTTGCTGCAGCTTGCAGCAACAATTTAAGTGTTTTAAGCTGATACATCAGCACCCAAAATAGCATGACTGATCACTTTTCAAAACAGCCAATTCATGCTGACTGGAGGTTAGTGTCTTACAGATAATGCTATACATGATGCTAAAAGACTTCATTTTCAAACATTATATATGCATAAATACAGACTCTCAAAAGGAGAGGATGAGTATGGTCTATATTCAGGCTGGGTTTGCTTTTGACTTTTACCTTTTAAAAAACACAGCTGAAGCCTTGAGAACTGACAGTTGAGGTCCTTAGCAATTATATCGCATACTAAAACCCAAGTATGGTTTCCAGATTGTCACTCATGAAAGACGACTCAGTGGTCTCTTCTGGCATAGAAGAGACAAGAGTCAGTGTGCATGCACTGTTTCAGATCACTTTCCTAGGCAAAACATCTTCAGATCTTTACCAACTTCAGCACAGGGACAAAGACCTCCACGCCACAAAAACTCCACCCATCTCAGTAGTATAAGTCTAGAAAGAAGCAGGCACCTCACTTTTAAACTTTTCATTTTACACACATACATACCAGAGAACAAGCAGAAATTGGTTTTGTGACATGGGACATACCACAATTCAGACAGGAAGGTCACAGGACAGACCCATCACTTCTACTCCCTGTAAAACCTCATTATAGTGTGATGTGATCTCAGAAGGTGTAAGAGATCAAAGCCACAGGGAACATAAGCACAGAAATCTGACTGAAGCAACCCTCCGGGACCGCCAGATAAAAATGTGCCAGTATCAGAACAAAGAATGGTCCTGAACGTGCTCTCCTGCAGACAGTGAGGTGAGAGGCAGCTGACTAGAAAACTGCAGAAGATTACCAGTGTTTGTTAGCAACTGGACCAGTAATTATGTCAGCTTAGTGTTGAGACAATTCAGTGGTAGGTGAAGTAACAGCACCTCAGAAAAAAAGAGTTAATGCAGTGCCTAACCTTAATTGTTTGATTAGTTCAACTGAAGTCCAACTTACCCACTAGAAATTGGCTACAGATACATAATTAGATACTAACTGGTTTTAATTCTGCTGCATTAAGACTATCCATTATCTGCTGAGATAACTGGCAGCATACTCTACAATTTAAACAATACTTAAAATATTTCCATAGAAATACACTGCAAATAGGTCAGTAAGCCCCCATGTACACATGGTATGTCCTTGCTGATACATTACTATTACATCTTTTTCTCCCCATGTGATTTCTCGTGCCTTAATAGACTGACAAATGAAAACAAATACTCATGCTAAAAGTGTAAGATAGGCAGGTTATGATGCAGGTTCTATAAACGTGAAATGACAGTTCCTGTTCTAACAGCTTAGGGATCCGAATCAGAAGCTTGCGAGCAGCCTTGTGCTGACAGACCCCTGAAGAGTTCAGCCTCCAGCAGCCTAACTGCAGTTCAGCTGATGAGAAAAGAATAGAAACCCCCTCATTTTAAAGGCAACTAACAGATAGTTGCAGGTATGCCAAAAGTAATTTCTGACAGATGCAAACATAACCTCTGTTGTGGTTTCACCTTGGTAAGAGCTTGGTCCAACTGGCTTGAAGCACAGGCAGAGAAAACTTGCACCTGCTTCTAACTGACCCTGCAGATACAGTTTCAGTCACTGGAGTGACTAGTCTGACTCTCGAGCTTTACAGACCTCACACATTTCCAGCTCTAGAGAAGAAAAGGCTAAGATGCACAATTTTTTGTTCCACTTAAAATCATGGAAATGCTCAGTTCAAAACTTTCCATGCAGCAGATGTAAAACACCTACTGTTAAAAAGCTTCTGTGTTGGGTTTTGGGTTTGTTTTGTTGGGGTTTGTTTGTTTGTTTGTTTTTCCCATTAAATAGTGGGTATACCATTCTCTGACTGCTTGATTCTCTTAGGAGAGTCAGTGCCATTTTCTCCTAACTTCCTTTTAGCACAGTCCACACACGAAGTTCCTGTGGAGGGAAAGCGGGGGGGAAATTAATGTTGCTACATATGTCTGCTTTGAATACTTTTTATTGCAAGCACCAAATATTAAAATAAACAATACTGGTCCACTGTGGTTCTTGTATTTGGATTCTGAATTATACCACTAACCCCACTGAAAGTCTGCACCAGTTCAGTGATCTTGAGCTCTTCCCCAACACTGAGCCCTGGTACTACCATAAAAAAATGGGAAGTAGCTAACTATACAGCTGCCTTTTGAAGAAAATAATTACTCATTTTGTGTGATAATGCCTGTGGAGTTCACAGGTGAGACACTTCTTTAAAAAGTCTGGATCCCTTGTTCAGAGGAAAACAATTCCTGGTGTGACCTACTGATGAAAAGTATAAACAGCATACCTGGACAGTAAAAATGAATGGAAGGGAAATTCCTTCAAAAATCAGGACATCCATCAGTTAAAATTCTAAATATATTTTTTGAGGGGTATTATACAAGTCTCTGTTAAGGAATTTTTTTTTTTTTTAAAAACTTACTAGGTATTCCTAAATACAACTAAATGTGTGCTAAAATTACTTGTAAGGAAGATGCTAATAAGTTAGTAAAGGAGCTTTATGTGAAGTGGAACTGGAAGAAATTGTGCTCAACTTTTTGGTTTCATCTCCACTGATGCCTAATTATGCTTTACCGAAAAAGGGATTTATGAACTCACCTGAAGGACAGATAAGCTTAAAATCTAGTTGGAATTACAAAATTAATCTCTGACTTTACACCTGCCCACAAGTTATCTTGGACCTTGTGTACTTTTTGTGAAAAAGTGGGGGCTTTTAATCTCCTGTAGTGCCAAAGACTCTTATATGCAATAATGAAATGATACTTTTCTACAATTTTATTTGCAGCAGCAGCACAAATATCTTAGAAGTGTAA